GTTTTTATGTCACTGCACGTATTACAAATAGTAGTGTTTTTATGTCACTGCACGTATTACAAATAGTAGTGTTTTTATGTCACTGCACGTATTACAAATAGTAGTGTTTAATTATTTTTTTTAGTACATCTGTGAGAACCATTTCCAGCGTATTTCTAACTCGAGTATGTTCACGGGTTTGAAGGCCATCAACCACTTTGGTCGACCTGATATGACAGCCTTTCTCAAATTTGTACAAAAACAACACTCTTACGTAAGTATTAAACCAGTTCCAGGATTCCCTGGAGAGAGAAGTAAAACACACTTGTGTCCTTGTCAATTCTGCAACGCTTAATGTTTGAAGTAATGATAAAAATCTTATAAGCGTAGAGTTAACGTACAGAAATCCCAGTTCTGGAATGTGGCTAACTTGCTAATGTTACGTATTGTCATAGATCTTCCCTTTTGGTATTGGTGAGCTCTCCCAGATAAGTTGTCACTGGAGAACTGAGGTTTAGTATCGTGTAGTTTCTCCAATGAAATCAACTATGTAGAGACTTTAGCAATGCCTGGAGATTATGTTCTCCCCACTTGTTAACTCGTGGAATAACAAGATGAGTTCAGTAACTTGTGTACAGTGTGTAGAGATGACTAGCGTCTTCTCTGTAAGAGCTAGTTCTATCAGTCTTGATCGGAGCTGCCTCTAGATTCTAGAGTGTTTATTTTCACATTGTGTTCAGTTTTAATTTTACACAACATTTTCCGTCATTCCTCCTGTTATTATAACTTTTAGTATCTTTACATTTTTCAGATGTATAGTATTTGCGCATTAATACATCTCCAACTTTTTTTCTGAAGTGCAAAGAAATTTTAATCTAATACACTTCAAGATTATACAAATACACTTTATTGCACGTGCAAAACTGTTTAATGTTTCCATTTTCATAAAATAAAGTTAATATAAGACATTGTAAATCATTTATATTGTCTGTACCAGTTGATCGGACGAAATTTAAAGTTTAGTACCATTGTGTAAGTTTTGTGATAAACTGAGAACTTAAACGGACTTGTCCAAACGTTTTTTAAAAATAATTACTTTGAAAGTAAATGTAACCGAAGCTGCTTATAGATTATATAGTTAACAAAGATAATTATTATATTTATCATTTTAGGTGAGTAAAGTCGGTGTTTTCAGCTGTGGGCCAACAGCGTTGACAAAAACAATTAGTAAATCAATCGAAACTGTAAACAAATCTCGTAAACTACCGTATTTCATGCACCATTTCGAGAACTTCTAGCTGCGTGCCATCTGGTGGTGATCCAACTGTTGGAAATACGAAAAGGAAAAACTCGAATTTTGTTGAACGAAATATTTTCTTACCGATTTGGATGTGTTAATGTTAAATTCCTTTAAAACAAACATTACTGTGTAAATAAAATATTTCATACTGGCATTAACAATCTCTTAAGTTATTTTTATAACGATTTTAAAGACAAATTCAGACTGAGTATTGTTGAGTGATAATTAATTGATGCTAACAAGAACTAGTTAACTAAAGAAATAAACAACTGGCAAATAAAAACAAAGATCCTCAGCCATACATATGCGGTTTAACAAAAACGTATTCATACAACTTAAGTTATATTTTTGTAGAAGAGTTTAAAATTATTTTTAAAAATATGAGAATCATCAGACTAAGAAAAACAGCGAGTTATTGTAACTAATATCGCGTTAAGCCTAAAATACACTTCTGTATAATCAGATTAATGGTATAAATGACCTGTATCGCGTTAAGCCTAAAATACACTTCTGTATAATCAGATTAATGGTATAAATGACCTGTATCGCGTTAAGCCTAAAATACACTTCTGTATAATCAGATATTAATGGTATAAATGACCTGTAAAGTTTATATCCCAACTTTACCATGTAAATATCAAGTGCACGTGTACATTACAACGTCTGAAACATAATCGTTACTAATGTATTGCTTATGTGGATATTATCTCGATTTGATTTTTTATGACGTCATAGCGCTACAGCTAGTGTTATTGGTGTGAGAAGTAGGATAGTGGTTGTTATCTTTATTTTATTGTTCTTTTGAAAGGGGTCCTATTTAACATTGTATGTATATCTCGGTGAGATGTACCGTTAGTATGTGTAACTCTTGTGTGAGGGTGTAATGAGTCTAATAAAGCGTGATTCTACTTCTAGCTACAAAAGCGTCTTTTCGCTGTTTGTTTTGTTCCTTATTGATTAATTATTGTTTAATCCGATAAATAAGTAACACATGCTGCACTACCTACTTCCCCTTAATGAGTTTATACGTCAAAAACTTCTACCTTTACATAATTAGCGAAGTCACGTGACTATCTAGTGTACCCCCTTCTCTATGTCACATGACGCAATGTCGAGCACTCGAGTCCGTAACGTATTGGTTCGGCGTGTCATCCAAGATCAAATACGTTTTGCATAAACGCGTTATGGCCCTGTTGGCTACCATCTACAGAGCCATATCGTGACTCAACACGTTGTCGGGATATCCAATAATATTATTTCTTACTACAGCTGTCGAGATATCCAATAAGATTATTTCTTACTACAGCTGTCGAGATATCCAATAATATTATTTCTTACTACAGCTGTCGAGATATCCAATAAGATTATTTCTTACTACAGCTGTCGAGATATCCAATAAGATTACTTCTTACTACAGCTGTCGAGATATCCAATAAGATTACTTCTTACTACAGCTGTCGAGATATCCAATAAGATTATTTCTTACTACAGCTGTCGAGATATCCAATAAGACTATTTCTTACTACAGCTGTGTCGAGATATCCAATAAGATTATTTCTTACTACAGCTGTCGAGATATCCAATAATATTATTTCTTACTACAGCTGTCGAGATATCCATAATATTATTTCTTACTGCAGCTGTCGAGATATCCAATAAGATTATTTCTTACTACAGCTCCTCATAAACCTCGACATTTTCTACCTTAACACAGTGTGCAGCTGTTAAAGGTAAGCTGTCATTCCTATACATAATATAACTTCTTTACGGTGCTCGAGGTGTCAGATTGCCTGCCGTGTCTGACAACGAAGAAGATTTAACAGTTATATGAAAACCACCTTCGGACACAGCTCGCGGTTGACTGATGAATTGGTTACTTCTGTCTTTACATAACAACGGAGTCGAGGGTTAACTGTATCATAGGCGTAAGAACCTACTGGCTTAGTCGGGTTATAATATAACTAATATTTGGATTTGTTTATACAGTTTGTATAATCTCATGTGTGATATCTTCAGACCTGTGAGGTCTTCGATATTATACGGTAATGCACTTTCTAAAGTCAACTATACTTGTATTTTATCACGGGCCGTATTCCTTGATAGGACCCAGTTTAGATAACCTTCCATTACGATCATGACCCGAGCGTGGTTTAGTGCGACCGTAATGTACATCGGAGGGTTCGTGGTTTTTGTCCGGTTACTGCAAAACAAATTTGCTCCGATCTTTGGGGTCAAAGGTCCACTACAAGATTATTCATTCAGACAAAATTAGTTCAATAGATGGCAGCAGGTGCTGTTGGCTGTCTGCGTCCCCTCTAGTTCCAAGTTAGGGACAGCTATTCGCAGGTATCCCTTTGTGCAAGAAACAATTTGGTGGACGGAATCATACGATTAAAACTTGTTCTTTGGGGAATATTTGGTTCATAAATAACAGCAGAAAGTCCGCATACAATTTAGGACAACACCAGCTTGGCAGATTGGGTGAATAGAAAGCCCCTTCCTACTATTAAAAGTGGCAGTTTTGGGTTGACATGATTGTTTGAAAACATTCTGGTACATTCTACATGTGTCTTGATTTTGCACAAAACTATACAAGGATTACTTTTGTTTAACCTTACTTGATGTTTTTATTATAACTTAGAGAGAGGGCGACTAGTCAACAACACCCACCGCCAACTGTTAGGCTAATTCTATCTGATCGAATAGTTAGATTTAATCGTTACATTCATAGCGCACCCACGAAAGTGCGGAGCGCATTATCACGGCAACAGGCCAAGAAAAATTAATCTTTTATTCACAGTTGAGACCATATCTTTCTGTTCTATAAAAATACAGCTTTCAGTTGTTTCCTCAAACAAAGTAGTTTTGTCATCAGGGAAACTGTTGAGATATGTTTAAAAAACTTGTGAGTTTCTATAGTGGCACAACGGTATGTCTGCGAATTTACAACACTAGAAACCGGGGTACGATACCTGTGGGTAGAGCACAGATAGCCCATTATATAGCTTTGTGCTTCAACTACAGACAAACAAATAAACTTTGTAAGATTTAAGGTTTGTTCGGATGGCCATAAGGAAGAGTTTGTATGTTTAACATAACATGTTATAAGGAAGAGTTTGTATGTTTAACATAACATGTTATAAGGAAGAGTTTGTATGTTTAACATAACATGTTATAAGGAAGAGTTTGTATGTTTAACATAACATGTTAT